CCGTCTAGGCAAAAAGAAAGGGCAGGCCAGAAGAAGACTGAATCCGCCATGAGAGCTGAGATCTAGTGATTTCATGCAAGTGTGCCACTCTGTTTTCATTTTCTAAAATTAGCAAATAAATAATTTTTGTTTGTTTGCTTTATCCATTTTTCTCTATTTTTTTCTTTCTCTCTTTCTGTTTTCTTATCCTTTTTCTTTTACCTCATCACTTTGCTGCTCAGCCTCCACCCACTGAGTGTCTAGACAAGTCTAAGTGAAAAGTTGCCAAAATCTGGATACTATTTGGGTCCTCATATTCCTCAACTCCCACTGAATCTGCAATACAAAAGGAGAAAAATGCAACACAAAAGAGTTTGCAGACCACATCCTCCTCTGGGCCTCTGATTGCTCAGGTTGATCTAGAAATAAGGAAGAAACGAATAACCCATAAAATGACTAGAAATCATGGCAGGGGAACAAGAAATCTCCAAAACCAAGAAAATACCTCACCCCTGAGGGAAAAGTATAACTTCTCTTCATCCACAGACAGTACAATGGAACTCATGGAAATGTCTGATAAAAAACTTAGAGTGACAAAACTAACAGAGGTGGAAGAGAAGAGGGACAATGACCACCAGAAGAAAAAAGTGGATGAGTTCCAGAAAGTGAAGAAGTTCTTGAGAGAGCTGAAGGAAGAAATATATACCATAAAAAAGAATCAAAAGGAACTGTTGGAGATGAAGGCTATAATACAGGGTGTCAAAACTTCCTTTGAAAGTATTAAAAGTAAACTAGATCATACAGAAAATCGAACCTCAGATGTAAAAGACAGAATTGCTGGACTAGTAAAATCCACCATGAAGACTGAAAAAATACCCCCACCCCCAATGAGAATAATACACAAGAGATACTAGATACCATTAAATGTCCAAACATCCAGATAATCGGTATCCCAGAAAGTGAAGAAACTAATGAGGGCATTGACAATCTATTCCATGAATTCCTGAAAGAAAACTTCCCAAACCTAGAGAGGCATTCAAAGATCCAGACCCAAGAAATAAAAACAACCCAAAATAGGATCAAGTCAAGAAGATCTTCTCTAAGACACATTGTAGCCAGAATGACCAAAACCACATACAAAAACAAGATACTCAGATTGGCAAGAGACAGACTGACAAGAGAGAAACGGTCAAGTTACCTACAAAGGTATCCCATCAGGCTAAAAGAAGACCTCTCATCGGAAACAATGTGAGCAAGGAAAGAATGGGAAAATATATTCAAAGTGTTGAGTGAAAAATAATTTCAATCAAGAATACTATATCCATCAAGATTATCCTTCATAAAGAAAAGAAGACAAGAGTATTCTCAACTAAACAAAACCTGAAAGAATTTACCAATACCAGACCAGATCTCGAAGAGTTTCTGAAGGGAGTGCTATCCCAGGAAAACTAAAGTCAGACACACAGTTCTAAAACAGCTAAGAAAATGGCCACCTTGATGGTAGGGACAAGTCCAGAGTTGAACATTATCTTCCAGAATTTAAATGGAAAGATCAGACCACAACAGAAGATCAAGTACATGAGTTTGAACTGGTGAAATAGAATTTTATGACTTTTGACTAAAACATTACTGGCCTTCTATGCTTTGTTTTCCAGTGTTAAGGAGTTTTGTCTTCTCTTGAGTTGTAGACAGGTCCATGTACCTACTATTCAAACAGAATCCTAACCTGTTTCCTGGCTTTAAGTATTAGGCAAAGTTCTCTTAACATTTTTTGATTTTGATTTATTAAAGCTAAAACTGCCTTTCTTGAAATTAAAAATGTATTTAAAAAATGCCTATTTAGTAACCACAGTAAGCTATATAGCCCCAGCTATGTGCTATTTTATAGTATATTCATTCTACCTAGAGTCTCATGCCTAAAGTCAACTTTTGTTCACAGATATGTATATATCAGCTGAACTTACTATTGAAAGTATTTAGATTAATTAAGATAGTTTGTGAATCAATACAATGTGGGAAAGAATAAATGAATGGATAGCAACTGCAGAAACTGGAGACAGGATGGGAAGAGGAAGGGAAATGGCAGAGGGTGAGAAATGGGGGATGGGGGGGAATACACACACACACACACACATATAAACACACAAGAAACAAGGAATGGAAAATTATGTGTTGATGATAACATGTATGATTAAGCTACTTTACAGTGTATTTTGGCTGAAAAATTGCATTTTGTATGCTGGGGTGATGTCCAGTGAAAAGAATGTAAAACAAATAAATTAATTAAAAAAGGGAAAATTCTGAAAATGTTTGAGCTTATATTAGTATGGATATATTAGCCGACACAAGCCAGCTCCACCTACATGCCTGTTTCCAATGAATTATTTAGTTGAGAAGTTGGTAAAATTGTGGGACTCTTTCTGATCTTAAAATAAATACTATTGATAGTTTCACTAGTAGAGATTTAAGCTAGCATTTTGGAAACACTTATTATGACAACAAATGACCTAAAGGAAGAGAAAACAAAACAAAACAAAACATTAGACCAGTGGTTCTTGAGAGCAGGCGATTTTTTTTTTTTTTT